GCGGGGCGGGAGACGTCCCTCCCTACGCGACGCCCGCCCTATTAGCACACATGATCGCCTGACCGCGGCCCGGCCCGTGAGCGGGGCGGCCGCCCTGGCGCGTCGCGGGCCATCCTGGGCCAGGGTGTGCAGACGGGTTCCGGCCGGCCCGGTCACGTCGGCCGAGCGCCGACCGCGACGAGGTGACCGTAGTAGGTCTGCCACCCGGGCACCAGCGGGTCGAGGTCAGAAGACGTAGAAAGGGATACCACCCGCTGGCCGGTCCGCCCGGTCACCCCCCGTAAGGGGCAGGCGGTGGGCCGGCACTCAGGCCCCATGGCCGCGGCCAGCCGGAATTCACCCATCCCCTCGGCCAGCGTGCAATCCAGGGAGGGTTGGTTCCGCGCCGGTGTAGCGGTCAGGTGGGCCCGGCGGGGTGCACGCCCCGACAACAACGACATAGACGTGGCACTATACTAAGATTCAGGATGGAAGGCGCCGCTGAGTAGCGCGGTGGTAGTGAGTTTGGCGCAAGCATAATACGAAGCAATATTCCTTCGTAATACGAATCTTTTTAGCTGTTTCATTGTAAGATACAAAGAAAAACCTTCGTAATACGAAGAAAAACCACCTTCGTATTATGCTTGCGCCATTTCCTTCGTAATATGGGAAATTTCTTCGTAAGACATTTAGAGTGTGGGCAATGGTCCCGCCGGGGCTTCGTTTACCGTTGACCCGCGCGTTTTGGCGGGGCTCCAATGACAAAGGGCCTCGCTGCCTCCACTGCGAGTGAACGCAGGCAGTAAGGCAAGGCCCGCCTCACCTGAGCGCCTCGAGCGCCGTGAGCGTGGGGCGACTGCCGGAAGCTCGCTTACTTTGGCAAGGACACTGGAAGTGAGTGACACTCGAAGGGGAACGGGAATGAGGCGAAGACGGCGGTGCGAGAGAGCGCGCGACAGAGGGCGTGCGTGGGTGCGCCCTGCGCCCCCACTCCGCGCTAGGGTGCGTCGTCCAGAGGCGACTTTCGATATCAGAGTTTGAAGACCCCTAGAAAGTTTCGTTTTTTTGTGCTGATTTCGGAACTGACCTCGGTTTTTCGATCGGAGTTAATCTTCTTGGTCCTACCGGCCAAAATGTACCAAAAAGCGGCAGTTTCTGAAAAAAATGTTCAAAAAGGCGATTTTTCAGCCTCAATTCTGTGTTAAAACGTCCCGGAGTAATTCTGATGGTTGTTGTCAGTGCCAATGGGTATACACAACACCAAAAAAAATATGAGAGCGAACTGGAACCTATCTAGCGGATATGCCGGGGCCTGCAATGAAAATAAATTGTGAAAAAACTCCCTTAAACGACCATTTTTGGCCCTCAGAGACCCCCCAGCGTCCGAATTTTGGTGCCCTATGCGGTCAAAATGTTGGGTACTATCAAAGGCAAGAACGTAAGGTGAGCGGCGGAGGGCTGGGACGCATTTCAGCTTTCGCGCAGCAGCGGGAAACATTTTTAGGAAAAACTGAAAAAACACCAAAAAGCGCTTTTTGGAATTTTTTCGGTTTTTCGCCGGCCCAAAACCCCTACTATTGTTCCTCTTAGGTGACATTCGCCAAATACAACAATATACAAACGCAATTTAAACTCAGGATCAGGTCAGAGCCTCGTCTTGTTAAATTCACTAAAATTTAAAATTTATTTTAAAAGTGACCTTGGTCCTAACCTGCTATTCAAACACTCAATCGTCCTTCCGACAAAGTAGGAGCAAAACTGCTTCGGCAGTTTTGACCTTCGAAGGTGCCCTGCTGGCGTGGCTTGCCTAAAAGGGTACAAAAGTTTTTCAAGTAACCCTTGCTGTCGTTACCCCGGTGTACGGCACGTCCGAAGCAACAATGCTTACCACCCGGGAGTCAGCACTCAACATCTATCACTCCGTAGGGACTATCACCTAGGTAGGTGAACAGAGACAAAATCGTGCCCGCGACGCAGTAACACTTTTTTTCTGCGAGTTGTCAAATGAAGTCTGAAGCATCTTCAATGCCAGCAGTATGCGCGGGGAATATTCAGCCGTCCGGTGAGCAGCTTCTATTGCCAGTGACGTAGCGTGTGTGACAGCTGGCGCGCGACTTATCTTACACTGTAAAAAACTCCGTACTTTTGTACGGAATTGGTCAGAAAAATATAGAACGGAGGTGCGGAGAAAAGTACACGGTAAAAACGGTTCCTGGTTTTCCCAGGAACCCCCTGGAAACCGCCTATGTCTTCGCCATAGGGCTCCTGGGAAAACCAGGTACCTTTTTTACCGTGTACGGAACGTTCCGTACTTGCTCGCCATATGAACCCATGTAAATGGGTAAGGTATAAAGTACAGAACGTTCCGTAGTTGGCAAGTACGGACGGTCCAGGCAAATTATAGGCCAGACATGTTGCGTACTTTTTACGTACTTTTTTCTCGCAGTGTACTGCGATGAACGCGTTATTTCACGATTTGGCACGTTTCGCTCAATTTTCGATGGACCAAGGAAGAACGGATATTCGAACAGAATTGCTTTGCATGCGATGATATGAACTAAACATAATGATCAGTACAAGTTGAACTGACACCTCGACCGCCCGACAGGCAACTGTGAGCCCAACCTCCTCTCAAGCCCGCACGTACGCACGCACACGCCCATCATTCCAAGCGTTGTAAAACGTCCGTCAGAAAGCAGTTGAAGTAAAAGAAAAAAGAACGACGTTTCTATCAGCATTGGTCTAGAAGTTCGATTTCTGACCCCACGTGGGGCCAAGGGATACCTCACACGGGGTCTTTTGTCCTGCGTCGCTGTAGATACCTAAAATAAGAAGATTAATTTAATCGGAGTAGTGTTACAAGCGGGTGCTGCTGCTGCAATGCGGATATTAGGTTATTATGAGCAGAATTATGGGGCCCATATGCCCCACAGGGGGGCACCTTCGAAGGTCAAAACTGCCGAAGCAGTTTTTCCCCTACTTTGTCGGAAAGGCGATTGAGCTTTTGAATGGCAGGTTAGGACCAAGGTCACTTTTAAAATATATTTTAAATTTTAGTGAATTTAACAAGACGAGGCTCTGACCTGACCCTGAGTTTAAATTGCGTTTGTATATTGTTGTATTTGGCGAATGTCACCTAAGAGGAACAATAGTAGGGGTTTTGGGCCGGCGAAAAACCGAAAAAATTCCAAAAAGCGCTTTTTGGTGTTTTTTCAGTTTTTCCTAAAAATGTTTCCCGCTGCTGCGCGAAAGCTGAAATGCGTCCCAGCCCTCCGCCGCTCACCTTACGTTCTTGCCTTTGATAGTACCCAACATTTTGACCGCATAGGGCACCAAAATTCGGACGCTGGGGGGTCTCTGAGGGCCAAAAATGGTCGTTTAAGGGAGTTTTTTCACAATTTATTTTCATTGCAGGCCCCGGCATATCCGCTAGATAGGTTCCAGTTCGCTCTCATATTTTTTTTGGTGTTGTGTATACCCATTGGCACTGACAACAACCATCAGAATTACTCCGGGACGTTTTAACACAGAATTGAGGCTGAAAATTCGCCTTTTTGAACATTTTTTTCAGAAACTGCCGCTTTTTGGTACATTTTGGCCGGTAGGACCGAGAAGATTAACTCCGATCGAAAAACCGAGGTCAGTTCCGAAATCAGCACAAAAAAACGAAACTTTCTAGGGGTCTTCAAACCCTGATATCGAAAGTTGCCTCTGGACGACGCACCCTAGTCACCAGGTGGTGTTCCGCCAGAGAGGTTAGGATGACCACAACAACTGTTTTTGAGCTGCACTGAAAAATCAAGTGTTGTGTACACCGCACCACTCATGCGGTTTGGCTGGGTCACCGCATCAAGTGATGCGGACAGATATTATGGTTTAATTTCACCGCATGAGCAATGCGGTGACAATATTGACCGCATATACTGATGCGGTCTCAATTCTCACCGCATCAACTGATGCGGTCTAAATTTTCACCGCATGAACTGAAGCGGTTATAATTTTCACGGCATGAACTGTGGATTCAAATCTCTGCCTTCGCACTTTTCCTTCTCAAAAATTATCATTCTTTGGCCACTTAAGTTTCCAAGTACTAGACCATGTTTCATACTTCTTGAAAATATGAACACATACCTGTCATAGAGCAGACCAGTTTGAAGTATGGTATATTCACTGTATCCAAAGTCCGAAATAGTTGATCACAAGAAGTTCTGGTGAATATTTCTTCAGGAAAATAGTTCATGCTGAACTATGAGTTGGAAATAGTTGTCCAACACAGAACTCGCGAAGTGGGTGGGGCAAATACTTTGCAACAGACTTCAAGCTTTGTCAAAAGTACCAGCACTGCTACTTTTCGTGTTTGTTTGCTTTGTCTAGAAGCCACTACCCACAGTTGTTAAGCGAGGTTAGACAACCAAATGACATGAATGCTACGAGGCACGCAAATGTCAACAAACACATGACGTAATACTACGTTAAACATGTTTCACTCCATTCAGTTTTTAAGAAAAAACGAGTCATACTTCCGACGTCCGAAAGTTTTTAATTAAATCAGACTGATGCATGGAACAAACTAGAACACCGGCACCCCGGACGAAAACAAACAAAAGCAGAAAAGAGGCAGAAGTTAGGATTTTACGAGAAGGCGGTGCTCTGTTATGAGAAACTTTTTGGTATGCCATCACCACTATCAGCACAACAAAACACGTAGCATTAGTTCTGCCTCGGACGAATGGTGACAATCAATAGGCTAATAAATATTATAGTAATGCTAAATATCCATACGTGGTGGTCAGCTGCCACCTTTTCCCTTAGATTCCTACGGAGAGCTACTTTGAATTATTTGAATGGTGGCGCTGAAACAGACCTGCCAACATTGATTGGGCTTCGCGAAGCTCCAGTCTAGTTGGCACACATGTGGTGCTTTTTGTTATTGTCGCCGCTGTTTGAGTGTTTAGGTTAAAATTTGTGCCTATTTGTAGCAGTTGTGCTTGGACGAAGAGGTTTTGAGGAGATAAATTACAATGGAAGAGGAAGAAAGTATAAGTACAAAGTGCCTGTTTTGCACTTTTTCATCCAGTAACAAGACCAGTCTGCTAAAGCATCAACTTTCTCATCAACATGATCCAACGTTTAGGGTTGTGTGTTCCCTCTGTACGTCCAAGTTTAAGTCTGTCAAGGCTCTACAAAAACACCTTGTGAGCCTACACAAGAAAAAGCTTTGTGAGTTTTTCATTCTATTCACTGGTTCTCCTTGTGTGTGAACTCTTTCAAAATTACACCTTAATGGTTATGTTTTCTGTTTGTCTTCCCACAGCCATGACTAAACAGCATATAGAGGAACCAACAGTATCAACAGGTACAATCTTATTTTATGTTCTGCTTACTCAGCCAATTTTTTGTAATCTGTGAGGTGTTATTTGGTAGGTTAAGTTATCACCCATGTTACTTTCATGTTCATGAAATGCCACCTGATGGGAAAACCTGATTAGTAAAACTTTGAGCACCCATTATAACCCGCAGACTTCTACGTGTAGACTGCACATAGCAGTCACCTATTACTGCTCTCACTATTTGCTAGTGTTTGTTAGTGTGATAGTTATACTCAGAATAGTTTTATCTTTCCTTTAATTTATTTATTCTGTGTGTTACAGTTGCGGACGATGCTGATACTGACAGTGAAGTTGAAATCGATCAGGACATGTCATTCTACTTCAATGAAGTTGCTGACTCTTCATTGGATGCCTCATTGGAAGGTAAAGGCAGTAACTCTTTTAAATTATTGTGATGGTGTAAATATTTATTTATTGTTTATTGTTTGAGAAGCTTCTTTAATTAGTTTGAAATAATAAAAATAACGAGTTCTTGTGAAGACTGCATGAACTTTTCACCATGCGTTTCAAATAAAACAAATATTTTTCTGTATTGTTTATAGATAATGCTCCTCTACCGGAAGAAATCTTACAACAGAAAGCTCATGCTTTCCTTTCAAATATAAGGGATAAATGTGTGTCACCACAGACAAGTATAGATCAAATTGTGAAAGGAATGGAAGATTTGATGGTTCACTACAATCTTGTTCTAGAGGTATGGACAATTTCCTTTGCATTTCTGTAATTCTAAACCATTGTCTTCATCAGTCATGTAGCTTAAAATTTTTCTTTCTTTCTATTTTTTTTTCCAATGCAGACTAAACTGTTAGCATGTCAAACTCAGGACATTATCACAGCCAGTGAAGTGAAATCTGTGTTTGAAAATCTAAGGGGGCAGTCTTTATTTGAAGGACTGCAGACAAGACAAAGGCAGATAGCCTTCAGAAAATACTACCTCACCTCTCTGGAGCCAATTCTCATCAGTACAAAGAATGAACCTAAATTATTAGACAAAAGTGGTTTTAAAGTAGTTCCTGTCGTTCAAGGGTATGCATCCCCATTTCTTCAAGTGTTAGAGGTTCTTCTTCAGTGTGAAGATATTCTGCACTGCATCCAAAACCCTTTGAAATCAGAAGATGGCAAGATTAGATACCTAGCTGATGGTTATATGTGGCAGTCACATCCTGTGCTTGTCAAGGATCCCTGTTCTATTGTGATTGTTGCATATGGTGATGACCTAGGACCAGGTGATGGCCTTTCTTGCAAGGGTTCGCACCTTCAATTAAGATCTTTTACATGGACTATAGGAAATATTTATCCCTGGTTGCGATCGACTCTCAAATCCATCAATTTGTTATCCCTCTGTACAAAGATACGAATGGACCAAGGAAATAGGCCAGCTCTGAAAGATTTTATTGCAGGGATCAATAAGCTGTCTACAGAAGGAGTGGTCTTCAATATAAAAGGAAAACCTACTAAGTTCCATGGATGTTTGCTGTTCGTGTGTGGCGACACTCCTGCCAGTGCCAACTTTGCTGGTATGAAAGAAAGCCCTTCGGCTTTTAGCCCTTGCAGGCTATGTTTGGTCAACAAACATAACATATTTGATCACTTCGTTGAAGATGGTTCACTTCTCAGAAATGCTGAGCTCCATGAAAATCACTTGCAAGAAATTTATTCTGGGAATGCTGCTAATGATGACAGTTTTACGGATTCTGACGAACAAGATGTTGAAGAGGATGCTTTATCTATGAATCCATCAATGCGCTATGGTGTCAACAGTAGGAGCTGTTTTATGGAAGTTAAATACTTTGATGTAACAAAGGCTTTCCCTCTCGACATTATGCATGTCTTTGCAGAATCTGGTGTGCTAGAAGTTAATGCCCGTTTGCTGCTGAAAGATGCCATCTCAAGCAACCGAGTAAAATTGAGTGAGGTCAATGATTTCATCTCATCCTTCGACTATGGACCTCTCAAGAAAGACAAGCCGGGTCAAATCAAGGCAGAACACCTTAACAATAATTTGAGGCAAACTGCATCCCAAATGTTTCTCCTAGCCCATCTAATTCCTTTTATATTGAATGGAAGGTGTGATCCAGCAAAGTTAAAGAACTACAACCGACTTTTGATGATTCTCAGTATTAGCTTGGCATCTGTTGCAGATGATGAAGTTGTGGATGTATTAAGGAATATTATTAAGGATTTTCTTCGTGAATTCAAGAGATTGTATGGTGAACTTATGACTTTGAAATGGCACTTCCTCACTCACCTGCCCACTCAAATATTGATGTTTGGTGTTCTGACTGAACAGTGGTGTATGAGATTTGAGGGTTTCCACGCAATCTTAAAAAGGTTGTTTAAAATTCTTCACAATGCTGTGAATGTCCCTCTATCAATTACAGGAAGAGTTCTGGATAGGTTTTTGAATGAAGTTGAAACCTCTCCACCTGGGAAATTCCTTTATGCTGGACATTCTGGTAAGATGGGACCTGCTATTCAATTTGAGTGTTTGGAATGGAAAAACTGTCTCAAATCAGCCATGCCACAATTACATGATGACAATGAACTGATTCCTGTGGAAAATCTTACTTATCATGGATTTGAATTTAAAGTGGACTGTATAGTGCTGCTTGATGTGAATGCACCACGCCTTCCAAAGTTTGGAACACTGTTCAAGATATTCCTCTTCCAAGAAATTCCCATTTTGCTGTGCCGTGATTTAGAAACAATCCAGTTTGATGTGAAATTCAATGCATACGAGGTTAAATGTATGCCAGATAAGTCAATGATGACTGCTATGTGTCTTAAGGAAACTCACTTTGTTCGGCCTCTACTTGGAGTTAGTCATCAGAAAACTTGCTACATACCACTGATGTATGAGTCTAAAGTTCCTTATTCTGCATTGGAAAGTTGGACTTTGGAGGTAAATTTTTTCATCAGTTTATTATGCAACTTAAATCAGTACCACACTGTCAATATTTAACAAAATTTTGTTTACTTTTCAGGACTCAGCCAACAACATGCCCAAATCAAAGAAGAGAGCTCGCAGATAGGAACTAATTGCAGTTTATTCTCTACAAATCTGCAAATGGCACAAGTAAAAGGTAAACAGAATTAAGGTAGACAATTTATTTACTTCTTGTCTAGACTAAACCAGAATATAACAATGTTTTTATATGATATATTTTTCTTTCCTTCCAGAATAATAAAAGATTAGAAATAATGACCTTTATGTTAACAAGGCTTAATGACTTTGTTTGCTCATGGACAATTTGCAAAAAAAAAATCTAATTTATGAAAAGGTAGGTGAGCTATTTGTTTTTCCTTTTTGTTTTCTTATTGTTTCCTTTTACATTGTTTATCATTGAATTAAATACATCAAATTTCTTCTTTGTGTTACCGTATTTAGATTTGACATTGGATCCAGTGACAAACCTCTCAAGAGCTCTCAAAAACTCCATATAAGCATATGGGTACTCAAGGTCAAAAACAATATAAGAAGCAATCAAGAGTGCCATGCATTTAACTGCTGATGGTTTGTTATTTATGGTTAGGAGCAATCTTCCTTCCATTCCGATAGCAGCTGCCTTCAACTCTTTGCAGTCATGAACGAATGGATTGTCCTTAATGTGGACCACAAGAAAAGGTGATTGAATGGGTGAGCTGAGAAGAGAATCCATTTTAGACGGTTTCTGGAAAAGGTAAATACAATGGCTTAAATGTTTTCTTAATGTCATTTTTAATAATAAGCTTATATCTTTGTTAATGATAGCAGTGTCATTACTCACATCTACAATAGTAAAAACTGGTTTTGCTCCTTTTTTTACAGCTGCTGATAAAAAATAATCATGCATCTCCAAAAGAGCCAGCAGTTTTCCTTCTTCAGTGGACACATCCACATTGAAATGTTGTCCAATGAGGTGAAGTGTCTTCAAGGCGTTTTCTTCAAGTTCTTCAAAACTGAAGTTGTTGGCACTCAGGTAATCAAATAGCATCTAATAGGTAGAATAAGATTTTCATAATAATTCTCTCTTAAGGATAATAAAATCAAACTAATACGGAATCTTGCATTTACCATATCAGGATCATTCAAGTGAGGATACAATCTTGTGACCTCAGACCTCGATAGAGTTCTGTAACTCGCTCTTCTAATGTCCTTCGTTTCAACTAATAGTTTAACTATCAGCTTCTTCTCCTTCGCCTCTCTCAGTTCCTTCATCTTGCCATCTTCATCTCTCTCTGAGTGTGGTGCACTGCAATGAGACGGTAATAATTTTCAGTAAGTTTAATTATAACATTGGTACATTTTCCATAAATAAATCTCAATTGTTGTTAGCCTAAAAATACTACCTTTCTTTAATTATGCCATGGCACTCCATGACTTTCATCTTTTTTGGTGGTTTTTTCTTTTTCTCATTCTCCTCCTCCGCTTTGGCTTTCTTTCTGTCATCTCTGAATGAGGCACTTAAAGATTTTTTGAAGGTCCACTAGAAAACAAGTAAAGTTTAGTCAAGTATAGCTGAAACAAAAGCCACAGAAATTACATATAATGTTGCTTATACATACCCAACTTTGGCCCCCTATGTCGGTCTTGAGCATTGGATATTTTTCGACCATTGTCCTGGCAAAGGCATCATACTCGCTCTTGTCCAAGTAGTCATCACCAAGGTAGTTACGAATAAAATGCTTGCAATCACTCAGTATTGGGCTAATATTTCTTGTATGTGGTGGTTCATTTAACTGGAACAGTGTTCCTGTTCCAAATGGAGGCAATGGAGTGGGGTAGACTAGCCTCCTCCCAAAGAGTCTTGGTTTCTGAAAATGTAAGGTATTTTGGGTACATTTAAACAGATTAAAAAAAAAAAAATTATCAAAGACAGTTAAGTGTTCAACACTTTCATTAAGAGGTCCTGTTACCCTTAGTCTTTTAACAAATTTCCTTTTGGTAGAAGCTTTTGGAGGACTGCTAGCTATGCTATTATTCATCTCCACGCTATTATTCATCTCCACGCTATTATTCATCTCCACGCTATTATTCATCTCCACGGTTGGTTTCACCACCACTTTCTTTGTTTTCACTTCATCTGCCTTTTCATCTTCTTTAAAAATAAAAATTAAAGTAAATAGTGTATTGGACAGAAAGGTCCTGTAATGCCTTAAAATGTTATGTAGAGACTTACTGCGAATGTTTCTGGCGCTCCTTCTAGTTGGTTGAGCCGGTTCTGGTTTAATGTTATTTGCCTCGGCTTTTTCAGCCTTCTTTTTCTCTTTTTCTTTTCTCTTTTCATGTTCAATCACAAAATAAGGTTTCTTGAGCTCAAAATCTGAAAATAAAAGCTCGGAGATAACAATAATAACAAATATTCCTAGTGTAGTTCAAATTTGTCAAAAATAATGTACTCACTCCTTTGACGCATTCCTAAATATCTTTCATAGATATTTTTCAACCTGTCACGTTCTGTTTCAGAATGAGCCATCCAACTAGCATCTGTAAAGAACTGCTTCACCTCTGCATATTTGCTGTCCGTGTCCGGCTCCAGGGCAGAAGATGAGTCCTGCTCCATAACAGGAGATGACTCCTTTTGGTCACTGTATTAAGAAACAGAAGCTTTGTAAGTCATTTTTGTCTTTTCCAAAACTTTGTAATTTACCTAACCCATCAGATTTTGTTTTACCTTGATTCTTTGTTACTCGGCAGATACCGAAGCACACTGTCATAATGGTTCCAGTAGTCATCAATCAATACAGCTTTGCGGAAAGCCACCAGGATCTCTGGAGTTCCTTCATTTTCTTCAACAGAGAACGCATTAGGTGTCACAGTAAATGCTCGTCGGTCCTCTACGAACACCCTGATGGAAACATTGTAATGCTCGGCAAGCGCCTTAAGACTTTCAAGGCCTCCCCACTCTCTACCTTCTCTTAAATTATTGAGGTATTCCTCAACTTGGCCTTTTTCATCTGGACCTGAATAGTCATCGAACTGTGATTGTTGCATTGAGTCTTTGATGTTATCTTTCAGGAGCTCATCATTTTCCCAGTTCTCTTGGAGGTATTTGACCGTTGCCTCTCTGGCAGCAATGATTTCTGCACAATGGCCAGAACTGTATAGGGGAGAAAAGCTCCCAACTTGGTGGGTAATGGAAGCAAACAGACAATCCCCATCTGACTTCATCTTCACAACTAGGACGCTGGTTTTGTCTTCCATCAAAAACGTCTCATGTTCTTCAACATGTTCTCTAAAAGTAAGATAAAAAGAAGAAAACCAGCATATGAGCTATATCGAATGAAATCAACTCTTACATTTTGCCATGATGTTTTTAGGAAACACTCACCTATCAATGTCATTAGCTGGGAAATGCTGTGGTGACTTGTCTGTGTTTGACACAGGTGAATCTGACTCAGGTGAATTATTGTTTTTTGGAACATTTGTGTCACTATCTGGAGGTGTTCCTGGAGTAATATTTTTAACTGAATACAAATTTCGGTATCCCCCAGTGTAACTTGTACAATAATGCTCTGGAAAAAAAAGTATAATAAATTTAGCAACCAACCAGTAAGTTCAATCCCAAAATTGAAGTGTAAAAAAATTGTGTGTTCATACCTGTGTACCATTCATCATAGAATTCGTGTCCACAGACAAAGGACTCTGTTTCTTCTCCACCTAAATAAAGAATTTAATTAAATGGATGACAATAATTCAATCAGAAACTGTAGTTTGTGACTGTCTTACCTGTCCAATCTTCGGTCTGTCTGTTTTCAATTTCTTTGCCTGTATTGTAAGAAATATTTTTAGACTTGTAGAAAATTTGATTTTCATGAGTTAGACTGAGTAGATTAAAAGTAATCTCACCTTGGTTTTGGAAGCAGGCTAACAGCATTCTCTTCTGGACTAAGCTTAAAGTGGACGGTAGGTCCATTATCTGTATGTATTGCAAATGCTCTAAACTTTTCACCCCAACTTGAGGTGATTTTAAAAAGGAGCACAAATCTTGCAACTCCCCCTCAGATAAAAGAGATTCATCATCCCAATTTCGTATCATGTTAAGGATTTCTTCATCTAGTAGTAATGTACCCTAGTGAATTTTTAACAGTGATAAATTAGATACAACCATGCCTTTGCTCGATTCAGCCCATAACTATTGGAGACTTTGTACATGTTTCAAAATAGCTGTATTTGAAGTTTGAGAAGTGTTTCTGCTTAATATAAGATTTTGCTTACCATTATCAATGTGGATCAAATAAACTATTTGGTGGATAAACAATTTGATTCTCCTTTTCTTCAACTTACTGCGGAAACTAAAACTCAGCTCGTTATGCCTTCGCCTCGTCAAATGGACCTGAAAACCGCCGTTCGCGCGGTTGGTGACATGGGTGTAGTGCCAACCTAACTTCTACCTTGACGGTTTTGTTTTATTCTTAGACTTGCTATTTGGTTATCAAATAAAGCAGCTTTTAGTTTGTTTTTTATTTTCTTTGATCCTTTTAGTTGAACTTATAAAATGGCCTTGCTTCTATCTTAAAAGCGAATTAAGACGGGCGTTACCACGTTACTTGAGTTTGTTGGATGCCCTGTCAATGTGACGTCACTGCCGGTACTGCAGTTTGCAGGTTTGCAGTGCGCGGGGGGGAGAGAACATGAGAGGCCCTACTTCACGGAGAGAAAGATCCTCTTTTCTAACGACTACGACATCGCGCACCGCGCGTCTGGTCACCAGAGCGAGTCCAACTTTGAGTGTACTGATTTGTCAAAACCTAGCGATCTGTTAGTTTTCAGTGCATTTCAAATTCCAAGGCCGTAAGCGCGGTAAGGCTCGAGCCGAGATCGAGAGCAGGTGTCAGTCGACCTCTCTAAATCGAGCGAGAGTTTTCGTAAACGCAGTTTCTCATACTGTTTTGTCGGCATCGTTCAAACAACAGTTTTGGAGTGTTACCGTGTACTGTGTTCGTTTTGCAAAATTCCTTGTCAAAGTTGGTTGTTAAGTCTTTTGGATCTTGCAGACCTTTAAAATCATGACGAAGAACAAGTTCAAGTCTTTTCAACATGTTGACATGTGCAACCGTCGCCAGCATTCAAAATGTTATGACCTGGGCGTTGGGGAACCTAACCCTTCTGGTATGGGTGCAACAACAGTGCTTGTCTCACTCTTGACTTGGAAGGACTGTTTGCTCAAGTTGTTTTGTGTTCAAGACCGAAGACGTGAGACTGTCGAAAACAAAACTCAGTGTTACCCAAGAATCAAGTATTGGACTCTTAGGTTGCATTTGGACAGCTGTTTTCTACTTCTAATTTAAGCAACTCAGCACTACAAACATCAACATTATAGGTATGTGTTGGTTGACTAAGGTTAGGGGATGGAATATTTGACAAGTCTCCTATTGCACCCTTTCTAAGCCAAAGAACAATATTTTATTATAAGGAAAGTGTTATGGCTGCGGTTTATCAGGAGAAACGGAAAACCAGGTGAGCTGGTGGGGTGAAAATAGAGACCGCATCAAGTGATGCGGTCTAAATTCTCACCGCATGAGCTGATGCGGTGAGAATAGAGACCGCGTCACTTGATCTCACTCCTCATGAATCTTGTGCGGTCTGTGTTCACCCTCCACACACCGCATTAAATAGTGCGGTCAAATTGTCATCCAAAGCTCCGCATCAGTTGGTGCGGCACAGACCACATTTGATTTCTCAGTGTGTCTGTGCATATTTGTGCGTGCCCGCCGGCAATGTTACGCTTTGATGAGTCACGCGAATGATTACTGACAGCCCCTGACTTGTTTTGTGTCCTATTTCACATTAATACGACGATTACAAGGTAGGTGTACGCCAGACCGTGTCTTGTCGTAACAGGCTTCGCTACACTCTACCAAAAATGTCCTGTAAATGCCGTTAATTTATTACCAGTTTTCACTGTAGGTCAATTCACAGCGTTTACTGTGAGCTGCTCACGGGATTCACTGTGATCTTGTTCGCGGTGTTCACTGTGATCTGGTCCCCAGTAAACACTGTGAGTTTGACGCCGCTAAGCACCGAAGTACTGCAAATCAGGCTCCAATTCACGGCGTTTACTGTGGCCAGATCACAGTGAACACTGTAACCGAGATCACAGTGAACGCCGTGAACTAGTTCACAGCAAACGCCGTGAATTGCATAACAGCAAACATTGGTAATAAATTAACGGCGTTGACAGGACATTTTTTGTAGAGTGTATGCTGCGCCAGTTTCGACAATCCACGCCTGGCGTTACACCTACCTTGGCCTGCGGCGCTTGCCTGCCTTCGGCAGGCTAGGTTTCATTTCCAGGCATCCGCATACCGATTTGCGTGATTGGAGGTCAAAACAGCATTTGATTTCGTGCCTAGGGCTGCATTGGCCTGACTTTTTAACTTGTCGAGGCTGGGGGGCTCCGCCCCCCAGACCCCCCTTTCTTCAAGGCAGAAGTGATCTGCCTGCAGAAAACTCGATTTTTCGCCGTTTTTAGGGGTTTTTCGGCTATAAAAACCGAACCAGTTGAGCTAGGATAGTGAAATTTCGCGTGTGACGAGCCAAGGACATACCCTAAAAGTGTGCAAAATCTCACCGAGATCGGCCGAGCCGTTCAGGAGGAGTAGCGCGGACACACACACACACACACGCACGCACGCACGCAGACAGGAAAAATTTTTCAACCCCACCTGAGTAACAGGCTTCGCTATCGCTCAGCCAAAAAGTCGCTGGCGGGAGGGTGACTGCAGTGCCGTTCCGGTGAGGTGGCTGCTCCGGAACGGACCGAGCGCCACCGAAACTAGACCGAGCGTCGCCGAAACGAACAGAGGGCCGCCAGAACAGTTTGAGGGTGTCGCTGTTCTTGTAATGTTCTCGTTTTGGCGCCCAGACGTCACCGAATCGGCGAATCTTTTTTTACTGTGTGCTGTGTGTCAGGAAAAATGGAACGAAGGAATCCTAAAAGAAAGGCCAGGCCGGGGTACATGAGTGACGCGGACCCCCAAGCCTTCGGCGTCCAAGGATTGAACTCATTCCATGGGGAGCAGCCGCAGCTTGCTTTGGAAACCGTTTGTGACCGACATCGATGTGGGGTCTGAATTCAGAGAAGCAAGGCCATTGTGTGAAGAACTGCACTTACCCGAAATCCGTGCAAATCTGGCTCTTGGCGACAAAGAGATGGTGGGACAGTCAGACTGCGAAAGCGCGTCAAAAGCACTCTGCAAACTGAAGTGTGTACATAGTACACTCCTATTAGAGCATGCTTCCAAGTACACTCTTATTTACAGCATACTTGCTAGGCACACGCTAAAATAGAGTGTGCCTGGCAAGTACACGCTAAATAAGTGTGTACCTTCCATGTACACGCTAAAATACACTTGATAAGTCCTATCTAAAAGCATGGGCCAGTTTAAGTGTACTTGCCAGGTACACTCTTATTTAGCGTGTACATGCAATGTACACTCTATGTAAGTGTGTACCTAGCAAGTATGCTGTAAATAAGAGTGTACTTGGAAGCATGCTCTAATAAGAGTGTACTATGTACACACTTCAGTTTGCAGAGCGAATGATTTTCAGTGCTCAGCCCAAAAACAACGGGTTTAACTACACCTGCAGCAGTGAATGATACAAAAGATCATAACGCAGCCGTGTATCTGAGGGCATTTGTAAGGAAAAAAGTGACACATATGACAAGGAAACATTTTTTTTTTATTCAGGCGGTGACTTGAGCACGCTAACCAAACTACGTCCAAATAAGACTTCTAGGAAAAACGGAGAACCATTAAGTAACCGCTTTCTTAGCTGTGCTGAGTTGCGTGCAGGAAGGAATGGAAGTTATCAGCAATAACAAATTAAGTTCTTTCAGACGTATTTGGGTCAGTTCAATCTGCATGGTTCTTCCGCGTAGACTTGGTGCTTATCTCTAGCACCCGTTGGGTTCCATCTCGCACTTGCGCTGGCAAGGGGCGAAGCAATTCGACCTTGCAAAACATTCATTACCACACCGCATGGCGCATTGCAATGGAGTGCATCTTCCCTGAAATGCGAAGAAACACAATTTAGGCCAGCGGTGCGAAAGCATTGGTTAGAACACGGGACGTTCAATCAAAGCAGCGAATCATGATATCACTGAAATACAGCTTGTACCATTATATGCAAGGTTTATAATTGTTAACAAGCCCATTGCAAAGAATTTTAAAGCAGCATGTTGGCGTCACAGAATTTTATAAGAAAAAGTTTTTTACGTCGTACAATCTGCGCTGTCAGTTAGGATTGTCTTGGATCAGTATTGACAGTTAGGATTATTCAATTACGAGGCGTGGATATGTGCCGCACCCTCTTTTTCAAGTTTTAAGTTAAGCGCTTATACGTGAACGTTTTATTGCGAGTTAAGGGCCCCGGCCTTTAAGGTCCTAATCAGCAATGTAACGTGTCATTCGTGCCAGCCTGTCAAACATACCAGGCGGGGGACGTGCTGCGGCTGCGCCAATAAACTGTCTGTTGGTTCTGCTGGTGCGGCTTCGACAACCTGTAAAGTATATCAATCACAGGCATGATTAAGGGAAGGTGGGGTACCATGTGACAGGGCCACTATGTGACATTGGCTTTTTCTCCCAAACGGCTTGCTACCTAACAGCGGTAAGCAGACTCAAAGGAACGAATCATTTAGGAGCATCGACGTGCTCAAGGTCGTGACTCTCTTTCGAAAAGGACGGGAATGGTAGCGATCAGAATTGGAAGCCCTTTTAACACAGCCCATCGGAAACTTTTTCGTTGGAGAGCAATCGAGTCACGCGTTCTGTTCGAGTTCCTGTTTCGCGACTCAGGGGCTCAGAACCCGTCCGGAATTTTGAACGCATCTACCGGTCTTCTGCGGCCCCCAGTGGAGCTTGTACATTCCAAATCTAAAGGCGGTAATATTTCCACCCTTTACTGGCGGTTTTTTTGAATTGGCGGTGTCCACATTTTACCGCCAATACGAAGGCGGTACAGAAATTACCGCCCTTTTCTTGGCACTCTGAGGGAACGTTACTGGCGGTAATACTTTGTACCCCCTTTTACGCACAAACTTAATGGCGTGCAATTGGCGGTAATACACTGTACCGCCGTTTTCCTCCGGTTTGTAGGGTGCATAATTGGCCGGCTCTAGATTTAACCGCCAATAGGAAAGCGGTACAGGTTTTACCACCTTCGCCACTCCGTGTGTACCGCCCATAGATTTGTAGTGTAGCACTCGATCAAGCTGCATTTATTGTACATACCAGCAGAGTGACGACTGTCGCGAATGCGAAGAAGACGAGAAGTTTCATGTTGGCGCTGTAAACACACCGAAGTCTCCCACCGTATTTATACGATCGACTTCCAACATAAAACTGGCATCGTAAACAAGTCACAAACGACAGCTGCATTATCTTTCGGCGTTGTTATCACAGCTGTCTCCCCTTCGTGGGTCACGTTTGGCAAGTCATCGGTCGTGTTCCACGAACGGACTTCTTAAACACACTTGCCTCTGAACCACACTGTTAAATCCACTGCAATATTACAAGGTGGGTGTACGCCAGACCGTGTCTTGTCGTAACAGGCTCCGCGATGCTGCGCCAGTTTCGACAATCCACGCCTGGCGTTTGCACCTACCTTAGCCTGCGGCGCTAGCCTGCCTTCGGCAGGCAATGGCTTGTCCAAACGTTCACAATTTGTGCCTTTTTTCACCTTCTAAGGCCAGATTGACACCTTTCTGGGCGTCCTATCGTCTTGCCATGTGGGCCAATCGACTCCCCATGATGCGAGAACCCCAAGAAACAACTTGGACGATGCGAGTAAACGACTGCCTATATTGCAGGGGCGGTCAATTTAAAGAAACGTTCGAAATTTGCGTTTTTTCACCTTTTAGGTTCAGTTTGACACCTTTCTAGGCGTCCTATCGTCTTGTTCTATGCGCCAATGGATTCCCCACCATAAGAGAACCCCTAGACACAACTTTGATACTATTGGTTGAGGATAGGCTACCTGTCGGGCGCCATCAAATCAAGAAAAGTATGAAAGGGACCTCTTTTTCAGCCGTTTTGGGCCGGTATCGCACATTTTGCAGCCTTAACCGCCATCTGATCACCGCCAATCAGGTATGAACCGTTTCCTCCCATCGTCTAAGGTGTTTCTCGGGGTTCTTTCATCATGAGGAATCGATTGGCCATGAGACTAGGGGTAATGGACTCGCAACGGAGCTGGCCGGAATCTCTGCTTTGCTAATTGTAGTTCACTATTTCTCCGACTAAATATGAGAGTTTTGAGATGGCTCGGGCATTTTTGGAAAGAAGACATCTTAAAGTATGCCCTAAATTCAAAAAAGTTTCAATTTTCCCACCAGGGCTCGAACAGGAACAGCTTAACCGTTGCGCTACTCAAATGCGCAGGGCGACGGGCATGGTGCCAGGGGCGACGCAGGGGGGGCGCCTCTTCAACTTGGGCTAGAAGCTTCCGGATGCCGCAAAAGTGATGGGACAAGTGGTGTACCTTGATATATATCGAAGACAAACTATGTCCCATCACTTTTGCGGCATCGGGAAGTTTCTATCGCAAGCTGAAGATGCGTCCCCCCTGCGTCGCCCCTGGCACCATGTCCGTCGCCCTTGCGCATTTGAGTAGCGCAACGGTTAACCTGTTCCTGTTCGAGCCCTGGTGGGAAAATTGAAACTTTTTTGAATTTAGGGCATACTTTAAGATGTCTTCTTTCTGAAAATGCCCGACCCATCTCAAAAATCGCATATTTAGTCGGAGAAATAGTGAACTACAATTAGCAAGGCAGAGATTCCGGCCAGCTCCGTTGCGAGTCCAATTGGCGCATAGAACAAGACGATAGGACGCCTAGAAAGGTGTCAAACTGAACCTAAAAGGTGAAAAAAAAACGCAAATTTCGAACGTTTCTTTAAATTGACCGCCCCTGCAATATAGGCAGTCGTTTACTCGCATCGTCCAAGTTGTTTCTTGGGGTTCTCGCATCATGGGGAGTCGATTGGCCCACATGGCAAGACGATAGGACGCCCAGAAAGGTGTCAATCTGGCCTTAGAAGGTGAAAAAAGGCACAAATTGTGAACGTTTCTTTAAATTGATCGCCCCTGGAAAGTAGGCAGTCGTTTACGCGCATGGTCCAAGATGTTTCTAGGGGTCCTCTCGGTGTGGGGAATCGATTGGCGCATAGGAGAAGACGATCCGACGGCGGAAAAGGTGTCAAATCGGCCTAAAAAGATGAAAATACGGCATTTTCCCCTTATTTTTTTGCAGTTTTTGACCCCTGGAAAGTAGGCCATATGCATATTCGGAATGCAGTATTTCCGAACTTATTCTAGGCATCAATAAGAACAATTCGGCGTTTCGTTTTTCTCTTTACGATCAAAACTCGAATTACAGCACCAGAAAGTATTATTCACTGAAATTCATTATTTTTCTAAAAACTTTGAGCGCGTTGAGCGACCCCTAAAAATGCTCCAAAAAAAATCGAGAAAATGTGGAAAAAATCTTTTTTTGGGCCAAACTTTAAGATTCCGTGCGGCGCTCCTCGATTTTGAAACTTTTTTTTTCGCGTGGGCCACCCTAGGCGGGGCCCCCTAGCATACAACAAGTTAGAAGTAACCGACGATGGACAAGCCATTGCCTGCCGAAGGCAGGCTAGCGCCGCAGGCTAAGGTAGGTGCAAACGCCAGGCGTGGATTGTCGAAACTGGCGCAGCATCGCGGAGCCTGTTACGACAAGACACGGTCTGGCGTACACCCACCTTGTAATATTGCAGTGGATTTAACAGTGTGGTTCAGAGGCAAGTGTGTTTAAGAAGTCCGTTCGTGGAACACGACCGATGACTTGCTAAACGTGACCCACGAAGGGGAGACAGCTGTGATAACAACGCCGAAAGATAATGCAGCTGTCGTTTGTGACTTGTTTACGATGCCAGTTTTATGTTGGAAGTCGATCGTATAAATACGGTGGGAGACTTCGGTGTGTTTACAGCGCCAACATGAAACTTCTCGTCTTCTTCGCATTCGCGACAGTCGTCACTCTGCTGGTATGTACAATAAATGCAGCTTGATCGAGTGCTACACTACAAATCTATGGGCGGTACACACGGAGTGGCGAAGGTGGTAAAACCTGTACCGCTTTCCTATTGGCGGTTAAATCTAGAGCCGGCCAATTATGCACCCTACAAACCGGAGGAAAACGGCGGTACAGTGTATTACCGCCAATTGCACGCCATTAAGTTTGTGCGTAAAAGGGGGTACAAAGTATTACCGCCAGTAACGTTCCCCCAGAGTGCCAAGAAAAGGGCGGTAATTTCTGTACCGCCTTCGTATTGGCGGTAAAATGTGGACACCGCCAATTCAAAAAAACCGCCAGTAAAGGGTGGAAATATTACCGCCTTTAGATTTGGAATGTACAAGCTCCACTGGGGGCCGCAGAAGACCGGTAGATGCGTTCAAAATTCCGGACGGGTTCTGAGCCCCTGAGTCGCGAAACAGGAACTCGAACAGAACGCGTGACTCGATTGCTCTCCAACGAAAAAGTTTCCGATGGGCTGTGTTAAAAGGGCTTCCAATTCTGATCGCTACCATTCCCGTCCTTTTCGAAAGAGAGTCACGACCTTGAGCACGTCGATGCTCCTAAATGATTCGTTCCTTTGAGTCTGCTTACCGCTGTTAGGTAGCAAGCCGTTTGGGAGAAAAAGCCAATGTCACATAGTGGCCCTGTCACATGGTACCCCACCTTCCCTTAATCATGCCTGTGATTGATATACTTTACAGGTTGTCGAAGCCGTACCAGCAGAACCAACAGACAGTTTATTGGCGCAGCCGCAGCACGTCCCCCGCCTGGTATGTTTGACAGGCTGGCACGAATGACACGTTACATTGCTGATTAGGACCTTAAAGGCCGGGGCCCTTAACTCGCAATAAAACGTTCACGTATAAGCGCTTAACTTAAAACTTGAAAAAGAGGGTGCGGCACATATCCACGCCTCGTAATTGAATAATCCTAACTGTCAATACTGATCCAAGACAATCCTAACTGACAGCGCAGATTGTACGACGTAAAAAACTTTTTCTTATAAAATTCTGTGACGCCAACATGCTGCTTTAAAATTCTTTGCAATGGGCTTGTTAACAATTATAAACCTTGCATATAATGGTACAAGCTGTATTTCAGTGATATCATGATTCGCTGCTTTGATTGAACGTCCCGTGTTCTAACCAATGCTTTCGCACCGCTGGCCTAAATTGTGTTTCTTCGCATTTCAGGGAAGATGCACTCCATTGCAATGCGCCATGCGGTGTGGTAATGAATGTTTTGCAAGGTCGAATTGCTTCGCCCCTTGCCAGCGCAAGTGCGAGATGGAACCCAACGGGTGCTAGAGATAAGCACCAAGTCTACGCGGAAGAACCATGCAGATTGAACTGACCCAAATACGTCTGAAAGAACTTAATTTGTTATTGCTGATAACTTCCATTCCTTCCTGCACGCAACTCAGCACAGCTAAGAAAGCGGTTACTTAATGGTTCTCCGTTTTTCCTAGAAGTCTTATTTGGACGTAGTTTGGTTAGCGTGCTCAAGTCACCGCCTGAATAAAAAAAAATGTTTCCTTGTCATATGTGTCACTTTTTTCCTTACAAATGCCCTCAGATACACGGCTGCGTTATGATCTTTTGTATCATTCACTGCTGCAGGTGTAGTTAAACCCGTTGTTTTTGGGCTGAGCACTGAAAATCATTCGCTGTGCAAACTGAAGTGTGTACATAGTACACTCTTATTAGAGCATGCTTCCAAGTACACTCTTATTTACAGCATACTTGCTAGGTACACACTTACATAGAGTGTACATTGCATGTACACGCTAAATAAGAGTGTACCTGGCAAGTACACTTAAACTGGCCCATGCTTTTAGATAGGACTTATCAAGTGTATTTTAGCGTGTACATAGAAGGTACACACTTATTTAGCGTGTACTTGCCAGGCACACTCTATTTTAGCGTGTGCCTAGCAAGTATGCTGTAAATAAGAGTGTACTTGGAAGCATGCTCTAATAAGAGTGTACTATGTACACACTTCAGTTTGCAGAGCAACAGTTGCCGCGAAGGATGGAGGTGGCACAGGAGTGGGGGTAGCCGGGAGATTCTGCGCTGCATGGAAACAGGGGTCGGTACCCCCTCCAAGTCACGCAGCGTTGCCGCTTATGTGTTCCGAGTTGGATTGAATATTGCATGAATTGTTCACTGGAATTCAGGCTTCAGATGTAAGGATGGATTTGGATAAATCCGAAGGAGAATGACAACGCATCCGTTCAGTCCAAGGCAGAAACGTGTACTGATGACAGCACACCGTCGTCGTCCTGGTCCTCGTGGCTGCCCCACCCGGGTGTTGTTCCACTAGCCGCAGCGGGGGGTGCCATGCGCTGCAGGGGGCATACAGAGGTCGGCACAGCGATTGGGCTAGGCAGCTTGGGCCAGAGGGAAGTCCCCAGCGACACGCTTAAGGGAAAGTGGGGTTATGCCGGACGCTTTTTAAGCGGTCTTGCTACCGCTTCTAGCTCTGCATCCGATCCCACTCATCCCATCCCATCCACCCATCCATCCATTCAGCGCGCTCGGGCTCGGAGGGGACTGCATGGTCGTGTTGGTCGTCGTCGTCGTCGTCTGTCGTCGTCCTGCGCCGCCACGCCACGCCGCCTCGCCGCGCCAGTCCCCACTCCTCACAGCCACCCCCACCCTTCTTGCCCCCTCTCTGCCCGGCCTCCCCAGCCGGTCCACGGCAAGACCGCTTTGCTAAGCTTGCCTTGGCGGAACTTTTTTCTTTTTTGTCTTTGAGCTTGAATATGCTTCTTGGGTTAAATGTTATGACAGGAGAGTAAAGTGTGGACCTTTATCTTCAAAATGGTACACATGAAAGCCAAATCTCAGCAACGGTTAGGGAGATATAGGCGCCTAACAAAAGCCCTGCACGTGTCCGGAATTGCCCCAGGCTGGGGTAATTCCGGACGACCTAGGGTCAGGGCGGGGAAGAACTGGACGTTTTGCAATCTTTCTCGATTTTGACTCTAAATGAATATCTTTAGCCAATGTATCCGTTGGGTCTGTTGATCGAGCCTCAAAGAAAGACATTTCAACCCTCAGCGAGTGCGTTTGCGGCTTCATTCAGTAATAAATGAGAAAAAACAGTGTGCGATTCTTCCCCGTCGAAACGGGGAAAAATCGAACACCTAAGGGGAAAAATCGGACATAGGCTTTAATTTAACAAAAACCTATGAAAGTAGGTCAGAAATCTCTTGAGAACGATATTTGGGGGTAAGACTTGCGATACCCACTGAAGCAGGCGCATTAGTATTCCTAGGTAGACAGAAATCATCGTAGCATTGTTAGGGGGTCCGAGGCGGCACGTTTTTGAGGTTAAATGACCAAAATGTATGAAATCGTCAACAGCCGTGTTTGTTTTCCCACTAAATGTTGGGAAATGCTAAAATACACTTGTTACCACCACTTTGGTGGGACGTTAGGGCAATTCATCGATTATTATAGAAAAAAGAGGTGTTCGATTTTTCCCCGCACCAGTGTACGGTTTTTCCCCGTTTCGTATTTAACCCTTCATATGTAATCCAGCTGGAAATCTGCTAAAACATTTGAACGTATCTTGGGCTCCACACTTCCAACTTTCGTTTACAATAAGAATATTCGTCACAGTAGGCTCGGAAAGTCGTTAAAAAGAGATATTGCGGGCACCAACTTTAAAGGTTTTTAAGGTGTTTTAAACGAGACCTCGTTTAAAGGTGACTTTGAATACTTTCCGGTTCAAGTAGGCTAAATTCCTCTTAAACGCTATCTAGCAGATCATCAATAAGCAATACTGAATACTTTGGACGTCCCAAAACAGGTAAATTTGTGGCGAAAGTGCGGTGTGCGTTTCTTCCCCAACTTGCAGGTGTCCGGTTTTTCCCCGCTCTGACCCTATGGGGCAACGCCGGACGACCTTAAGTACAACAAGGTAGGTTTACGCCAGACCGCGTCTTGTCGTAACAGGCTTCGCGATGTCTCGCTGCCTGTTCCTCCAATCCGCGCCTGGCGTACCTACCTTGGCCTGCGGCGCTAGCCTGCCTTCGGCAGGCTATGGCTTGTCCGTCGTCGGTTACTTCTAACTTGTTGCATGCTGGGGGGCTCCGCCCCCAGACCCCCCTTCCCTGTAGGTAGAGTTGCTTCATCTACAAATAGCATGATCTTGACCCAACCTTTGAAGTTATCGGGGCTGGGGGGCTCCGCCCCCCAGACCCCCCTTCTTCAAGACAGAAGGCATCCTGCCTGCAGAAAACTCGATTATTCGCCGTTTTTAGGTGTTTTTCGGCTATAAAAACTGAACCAGTTGAGCTACGATGGTGAGATTTCGCGTGTGCCGAGCCAAAGACATGCCTAAAGAGTGTGCAAAATATCACCGA